TTTCCACCTCTCCTCTCTCATATATTCTCTTCATCTCCTCTCCTACCGACCACCTCTTCTTTTTATTATTTTTCTATATTTTTTTTGTTTCTCTTCCATTGGTAATGGATCGTCTGCCCCTTTGCCATCGATCGTTGTCTCTTCTAGGGTCATTTTCTCATTATCAACTCTTATTATTATTGTACCTTAGTTATTAAAGTAAATATTATTCTATCATCATTTATGTAAGTTATATCTATGTCGACATTCGTGCTTAAGGAACTGAATTTAATATTTATCTTGTAATATTTTATATATTATCTTGTGTTATTTAATGTGCGTGAAGGTTTATGTTTACAATATAAGTTGATGATATTAGTTTTATCATATTTTATGTGATTGATGTTTTATTTTTATTTGTTTAATATTTTTAATTTTTATTAATTATGATATTTTAGATTTTTGCTATATAAAATTTTGAATTATTTATATGTTCTAAGGTATTTTCATAATTAAACATGTAGTCTGACTTGTTGGTGCAACCTATCTCCGAGGGCTTAGTTGAATCACTTCTCGGTTATATTGATAACTATATGTTGTAGTTATGATGCCACTAAAATTTAACGTGTATTTTTCAAAAAAATATGAAACAAAATTGAGATATTCATTTTCCATGCATTACATTTTTTTTCCCTGATACAAGGAGGTTGATGAAAGAAATAAGGGAGAGGAACTCTAGTGTGGAATAGTTCATCACTTTTGCCTCACGATCCAACAATGAGAAACTAGATACAGGAGTCTGGTTTCACATTGCCATTGGAGCTACCATAGACATGAACACAAGTAGACGTCATATTTTTGGCTTGCTCGTCATCGCCATTGCACTTCAAGCTGATGTCGTTGAGCTCCACGCCCTCACATGGAACAGCCTTGCTACAGACTAGTTTTATAGCTTCTGGCGAGGCAGTGGTCCCCGTGATGTTTCTGAATTTGATGTCCTTGATCTTAACCAGAGAAGGATCCTAAATGAAGAGAGGGAGGATGCACAAATTTGAAGACTTTGAGTCCAATTGAGAACTCTGATGATATATTTAGTAGTAGTAGTAAGGAGGTATACCGTTTCGGGACAATTAGCATAGGGGCAATAGTTCTGATCTATGATGATGGGATTGTAGACATTATTCATGATGATGTCTTCGAAGACAAAACCGGTGGCCTTCAAACTGGATGGAGAAGATGGCCATGTCTTGATCCTCAATCCATTACTTGTACCGGTGAAAGTGCATTGCCTCACCGTCAACCCACTGACATCTTTCTCATTGGCATTTTTGCCGAGACTACCGACGCTGATGCCGTGGCCGGGACCGCATAACACATTAAAGATGGTCAAATTGGTGCAACCTGGGCCGATGGAGATGCAGTCATCACCGGTGCCGATGACCGAGTTGGAAACCTGGATATTGGTCGAGTCGGCTATGTGGATGCCATCAGTGTTAGGGCTGTCTCCAGGAGCACTGATTTTGATGGAATCAAGGGTGATGTCTCTTGATTCAAAGATTTGCATGTGGAATAACTTGCTGTCGATAGAAGAAATGCTACTGATGGTTGCATTCGTCACGAAACTGAACACCAAGTTCTATAGAGTAGTATTGCAGGGATTGTTAGTGCAAGTCAAAGTGAGAATGAATTAGTGATAAATTTTGCTTGGTTAGAGCAAGGAAGACATGGCTAGAATACCGCGGGTAGGAGTTTGCATTTGCGTGTCTTGGGGCATTGGTTGTAAGGCCATGCAGAAGCTCCTTGTCCATGAAATATTCCACCACCTGAGATTACCAATCCATTAATGTACTGAAAATCGAGCCAGTTTTGTGTGTAAGCTTCGAGATGGGTGGATGCCGATAGCTGCCCTTTCACTTGCATCACCATTTTGCCTTTGCAAGGCCCTTTAAAGATTATTGGACCAAGCAAGTATTCTCCCTCTGGGATCACTATTGTTGCTGTCCCTTCCACTGCACATGCCGCACTCCATGTCGATTCAAAAGCCTATCGTATCCATAATTATTACAACCGTAAGTATGGAGTTCTTGTGATAACAAATACAAAACGTTTCTTATGTTCGTCTTATGTTCCACTAAAACTTTTTACAATTCAAGTTCATGAAGATGTTTAAATTCATAGGATCAAAGACAAAAACTATTTGTAGTAGCAATAACCTATACTAAACATGAAAAGTTACCTTTGTGTTGTCGGTTTGGCCATCTCCTACGGCTGCGTAATCCTTCACATTGTAAACACCGACAATTGTGTCTGCACCCGCACCACTTAAGATAAAGAACAACAAGCTAATCCCAATAATACTTAATTCTAAACCCATTATCAAGAGTCCTCTCCTCGATCGATGTATTATTTGAATCAGTGCTTGTGTGTGCCTGTCAATATTCTGAATTAAGCAACCATTTATAGTCAGAGCATGCAAGAGATTTCTTCCCAAGAAGTCAACATCTCCAGATTCATTAGGCAATTTTTGACCACTAATTAATAACAACTTGCTATTTATATATGCTTGCGGTTGAGAAGGATACAAACAAGTTTTGGTTTGCCATTGCACTATCCTATTCTTGGCCTATGTTGAATATGTAAACAACCTCTACCTTCGTAAAGTGTTGCCTCGATAATTTATGAACTTTGTGAGCTTTGTTGGTGTCTCGTATAATTAAAGTCTTTAACTTTTTTATCACATATAAAGTGAAAATGAACCATACATGATGCCATTGTGTTGGAAATAGTTATAAATGTGAGATGAAATGAGATGAACTAATAAAATAGCACCATAATCAAATAATTAAGTCTTTTGTTTTGTGTTTCAAATTTTGGTATGATATATATTTAGATATCGGAGGATAAAATTTAATCTAAAAACACTTCAGACAAAAGAAAAATGGAAGATTGACCTAATAAGGTTATGGTTATGATTGAATTAAGATGAATAGTGGCAATAGGTACACATGGATAAAAAGTCCTACGAGTTTAAAATTGAAACCCTTAGGGACAAAGAGAATGGTGGATTGGACTGATGTCCAATTTAACAAGTTTCATATATCATCTTGGAAGTTCAAATTCTAAAGAATAAAAGGTTGGAACAATTGGTTATTATCATCTTAAGTCTAATGAAATCATATATCTATTAAAATTAAAAATATAGTTATTTTAACAAATTTGAACGAATATAATGTTAAAATAAATACTAAGATAAACACAGAGCAATCTCATTTGTGAAATATGAATCATAATTTATTATTGATTACTGATAAACAATTGAAATTTTCCTCGTTTTTTTTTTTCTATAGGACATTCCATATGGTTACAATATTTTTAGATTATATTATAGTGCTTTCAATAATATTAGGAAAATATTGTGGCATAGTGCTGTCTAGTTATAAAGTTTTTAGACTATGTTATAATGTTTTTACACTATGGTACAATCTTTTTATACTATATTATATTATTTTTTAGTATTACTCAAAAAAATATATTATATCATAATATTTTTGTTTTGCGTTACAGTATATTATGATAATATCTAGAATACCCTTTTTCTTCCTTTTTCCTATGGTTCGATCCGTAGTACTGCAGTATTTTCAATAATTTTCAATTATAATATTTTTATATTATGTTACAGTATTTTTTGAATTACCAAAAAATATCCTAACGTAATATATATTTTCTATAATTTTATAAAAATCTTATGTTTATAATATTTTTACATTATGTTATAGAGTTTCCAGCAATATTATGAATTATTTGAAAATTTTGGAAATAGAAATGTTTTCTGAAAAAAAACTTAATAAAAAGGAATTCACCCGATATGTTTTAATCGGGAATCACGTACCATAATGGACGGCAATGATGAGATCATCGTGTGCTACATCGCGCGTGAATAGCGACGGAGCGATCTCCACTTCCCCGGAATACGGAGAGCTCGCGCGATCGAAGAGAGAAGGTTCGCTTCACAGGTGGCAACCACCAAACCCTAGCGCGCGTGCGAGTGGGAGTCGCCCTCTTCGTTGCTTCCGAGGTGACCACGGACTCGATCGATCGGCTTCCGCTTGCAATGCATTTTGAAGCCGGCCAGTAGCCTTCCGTTCCTGGATTGTTAGGGTTTTGATGATCTATCTAGAGAACGGGTGTCGGTTGTTTTGCGTTTAGCCATCTCTTTTCTTCGTTCTTTGGATTTCGTCCCAGAAAGTTTGTTTATCCGTGTGTAATACTTTGCCTTTTGCTTGATCGTTTCGGTAGTCTGATCGTGCATTCCTATGTTTATGATCGATCTCAGTTGAGAAATTGGATTGGTCACTGATGGCTACCAAGAGGATCCAAAAGGAGTTGAAGGACTTGGAGAGCGACCCTTCGGTTGCCTGCAGTACAGGTTAACTCTATTTTGTTGTCGGCTTCCTCTTGATGAAAATGGAACCTTTTTTTTGCTTTCTCACATTATTTTAGTTTTTAGTTGTTAGTTGCTAAGAACTTTGTGAAATTATTTTGAATCACATAAAATTGCATATTTAACTTAAGAAAAACAAGTGATAACGCCTTTAAGGTGAGTCGTAGCATTTTCGGTCTTAGCTATGAACTTGTCTTCTGTTTGATTTCGTATGTTTCTACGTCCTCGGATAATCCTACTGACATGTGGTGCTTTTTACATGTTTCTAAATCAGCTTCTATGAACCTTTCTCTGCTTCTTGTGGCATGTCTAACTTGATTAGACTCACGATTTGCTATGTTTGTACTTATGGCCTTCTTTGCACATATCTTAGGCATCTCATATGTGCATTGGTGTTAACCAATAAGCAAAGTTCAGACCAAGCATTTCACAAGGATAAAGAGGTATAAGAGAAATAGAAAACAAACTTTAATTGTGTTGAGTGTATTTAGTTGTCTTCCGAATAAAGTTAAGTTGAAATATAATCATATTTAGCCTCCCATTATTTATGGCTGTTGTGGCTTGATAAATGAAGAATACATTTGGATAGAGTATATGTACAAAAAATTTTGATGTGTTAATTTTTCTCAATTATATGAAATCCTTTTTTACTTGTAACAATACAGACATAGAGCCTATATATAGAGACATTAATTGATTCTTATCATTATAAATTTAATAAATTTGACTTTAAATATTTCTTTTTTGTTTTGAGAGTATCCACACTCGTTGATAGATAAGTTAATCGACTTCTTCACCAACTTGATTAAGTCAAATTGAAACAAAAATTAAATTAAATGCTCTGACATCCTCCCTTAATTTAAATTTTGTTTGAAACCTACTTAATCAAGTTGGTGAAGGAGTAAGTTAACTTAGTTGACAATAAGATTTGGTAATGAAAACAATAAGAAAAGCTAAAAGCAATGTTTTCAAATGGTGAATGGGCGAGGCAAGGTGAGGCCCAAGCACCTTGCAAAACCTCCGGGCGAGGCATTTTGATGAAGTGTCGGTCGGGTGCTCACCTGAGCCCAGGTGTCGGGCACCTTGGGAAAACGCCCAAGTGGAGATGGGTCTAGGTTCATGCTTGGTTCGATTAAATGAGCAAGTTAGTTCTCGACCCAATTTGTCATTGAAATGAAACCCTATGTCCATAGTCGCCAACTTCGTTCGCAGCTCCATCTGTCGCTGCCTTCGTCCTTAGCTTTGTCTGCCATCACCGCTTTTTTCTGTAGCTTTGTCTGCCATCACCGCTTTTTTCTGTAGCTTTGTCCGTTGCCCTCTCCTTCCCCCACCTTCCTTAATAGCCGTTGGTTACTTCTCTTCTTTATTCCCTCTTTAGAACTATTTTGCATTGGTTAGAACTATTTAACACTATATTGATCCACTCTTTAAGACTATTTAGCACTGGTTAGAACTGTTTAGCACCATATTGATCTACTCTTTAGAATTGTTTAACACTGGTTAGAAACTTGTTTAGCATAGGTCTCTATAAGTGGAACCTGTTTGGCACTCGTACTTTATATGAATTCAATTTGATGTGGCATTTTTATTTTTATGATGATATTGATACTTTATATGATTTCAATTTGATGTGAAATTTTTATTTTTATGATCATATTTATCAATTGTAATATATATTTTTAATTTTAATATTCTAAAGCATCTCGTTTCGCTCGAGCGGGTGCCTAAGTGAGCACCTAGTACCTTAGGCATTTTGGAATCTTGATGCCTGGCACTTTTAAAAACACTGGTTTAAGGTTAGTATTGTCAATGTCACATTAGCAAGAGTATGTTAATGTCTCTATTGATAGGTCATACATTTGTATGATCAACAAGTGAAAGAAATTATTAGAGATTGTGAGATGCTGCCCATGGACAATTAACAATGAGCATCTCAATATCATCGACATGACTGCCATGACTTCTTTCGATATATTTCAATCTCATGCATTTTTGACCAAAAAATATGATCATTGGAGTATTTATATGAATGTATATTTAAATTTCAAGATGTATAGAATATTGTTGATAAAGGTTTTTGAGAACCTAGAAATGAAGAACATTCTCTCACTGTAGTATAGAAGGTCAAGTTGAAAATTAAAAAAAAGACAAAATAACTCTAAATTGTTTTTTAGTCAAGCAATAGAACTCAATATTTTAGAGAAGATCATTAAAGTTCAGACATGGCATGAGGCTTGGTTAATTCTTCAAGAGACTTATGAAGGTGTGAGTTGAAGTTAGAAAGTACTTGGAGTAGAGTTTGGAAGTTTGAAGATGAATTATACAAAGTCTGTGATTATTTTTCTTGCACATTAGTCATCACAATTTAAATGCGAATCAACAGAGAAAAGGTTAGTGATGTTAGAATTATATTGATTCTCATATCTCTAATTTCCAAATTTGAGCATGTAGTATATTTAATTTAAGAGTCGAAATATCTTGACAAGACAATACTAAAGAGTCATTGAGACCTTCAATGGTCCATGAATCTATTAGGAAAAGAGTCGGCACTAAGAGGGGGGGTGAATTAGTACAGCGGTAAAAATTACGTCGGTTTGAAAAACCTTCGTGCGATAAAATCTGATTTCGACGAAAACCGTTTCAGAAAGATCTTTAAATTGAAAGCATATGGAAGTGTAGTTGATGTAAAGCAAGAAAGACAGTTTGCAGTTAAGATAAATATCAAAACAAAAATGCAAACCGATTTATAGTGGTTCGGTCGTTGTGACCTACATTCACTCCTCCGATTCCTCTTCTGTCGAGGCCACCGGCATCCACTATCGATCTTCCTTTAATAAGCGAAGATCAACCTCTTTCTTACACCCCTCTTCTCCTTTTATCGGGTTTAGGAGACTATTCTAACACCTAGACTAGAAGAGGAGGATTCTCACAAGATATTACAACAGCGTTTTTTCCTCTTTAAATTCTTTGTGCTTGTGTCTTTTAACCAGGGATGAGAGGGATATTTATAGGCTTCAAGTTGATTCAAACTTTAAGCCTAAAAACATCTTATCCCGGGTTTCCTAGGTCCGGGTGGTACCACCGCCTGTGCTAGGCGATACCACCGCCAGTGTCAGCCTGACACTAACACTGCACTAGGCGGTACCACCGCCCGGTCTGGCGGTATCACCTCTTGGCACTGGGCCATTGGGCGGTACCACCACCCAGACTGACGGTACCACCGCCTGACACAGTCTCAAAGACTATGCCACGATGATGCCATCACTTGGGTCACTGTTTGGGCCTTTCATTGGGCCCAACACAGTCCTTACATGGGCCCAATTGACCCATAATTGGGTTGGCCCAAATCCAATCTCAATTATGTGCTAACTACGAAATCTAAGGCATACTTAAGCTAAACAAGTCCCTAGGTCTTGATTTCTTTCGACGATCTTCCGGCGAACTTCCCACAATCTCCCGGCAATGTTCCAACGGACTTTTGGCAAACTCCTGGACTTCACGACGATCTTCTTGGCGAGCTTCTTCTGGCAAGCTCCTGGACTTCTCGGCTGGTTCCTGCAGAACTTCCGACGAACGTCTGGACTTCCGACGAACTCTCGAACTCCTAACGAAATCGCGTCCTTGACTCCGGGACTTCATTTTGCTTCATGCTTTGCTATCGTAGTTAATCCTGCACATGCAAAACACACTTCGATCTAGACAATTATTACTAAGCATGAATCATGTTGTCCGGCATGTCATTAGTCCATCGACGCTTCGTCCGATTCTTCGGCGCATCGTCCTCTCTTACGGCCTATTGCCCAATCGGCCAGTTGACCTCCGCAACTCTGAGATCCTTAGCGCAATATCCGCTCTTCTTGGCCCGATGCCCGAATCCATGGCCCGAAGCATTCTGTCGATACGTCATCCGATCCTCCAGCTAGACGTCCAATCTTCTAACATGTTCCACTGGTCCATCAACACTTCGTCCGATTCTTCGGCATGTCATTGGTCCATCGACGCTTCGTCCGATTCTTCGGCGCATCATCCTCTCTTGCGGCCTATTGCCCAATCGGCCAGTTGACCTCCGCAACTCTGAGATCCTTGGCGCAATATCCGCTCTTCTTGGCCCGATGCTCGAATCCATGGCCCGAAGCATTCTATCGATACGTCATCCGATCCTCCAGCTAGACGTCTAATCTTCTGACATGTTCCATTGGCCCAACATGATTCTTCCTGCTTTAATTGTCTCATTCGAGTTTTCCAATAAGTGTAGTTCGTCCCATTGAATAAGGGAGGACGAATGAGAGAGTGACCCTCTTGAAAGCCGAAAAGAGTCATTTCTCGTTGGGTGTTAAACCAAATGAGAAAACGAGGCTCTGATAGCAACTGTTAGAAAAAGAGTCGGCACTAAGAGGGGGGGTGAATTAGTGCAGCGGTAAAATTTACGTTGATTTGAAAAACCTTCGTACGATAAAATCTGATTTCGACGAAAACCGTTTCAGAAAGATCTTTAAATTGAAAGCATATGGAAGTGTAGTTGATGTAAAGCAAGGAAGGCAGTTTGCAGTTAAGATAAATAGCAAAACAGAAATGCAAACCGATTTATAGTGGTTCGGTCGTTGTGACCTACATCCACTCCTCCGATTCCTCTTCCGTCGAGGCCACCGGCATCTAGTATCGATCTTCCTTTAATAGGCAAAGATCAACCTCCTTCTTACACCCCTCTTCTCCTTTTATCGGGTTTAGGAGACAACCTTTACAAGCACTCACTCGTCTCTCAAACTATTCTAACACCTAGACTAGAAGAGGATTCTCACAAGAGATTACAACAGCGTTTTTCCCTCTTTAAATTCTCTGTGCTTGTGTCTTTTAACCAGCGATGAGAGGGGTATTTATAGGCTTCAAGTTGATTCAAACTTTGAGCCTAAAAACATCTTATCCTAGGTTTCCTAGGTCCGGGCGGTACCACCGCCTGTGCTAGGTTGTACCACCGTCATTGCCAGCCTGACACTGACACTGCACTGGGCGGTACCATCGCTTGGCACTGGGTCACTGGGCGGTACCACCGCCTGACATAGTCTCGAAGACTGTGCCACGACGGTGCTATCTCTTGGGTCACTGTTTGGGCCTTTCATTGGGCCCAGCACAATCCTTACATGGGCCCAACTAGCCCATAATTGGGTTGGCCCAAATCCAATCCCAATTATGTGCTAATTACGAAATCTAAGACATACTTAAGCTAAACAAGTCCTTAGGTCTTGGTTTCTTCCGGCGAACTTCCGACGATCTCCCGGCAATGTTCCAACGGACTTCCGGCAAGCTCCTGGACTTCTCGGTTGGTTCCTACAGAACTTCCGACGAACGTCTAAACTTCCGACGAACTCTTGAACTCTCAACGAAATCGCGTCCTTGACTCCGGGACTTCATTTTGCTTCATGCCTTGCTATCGTAGTTAATTCTGCACATGTAAAACACACTTCGATCTAGACAATTATTACTAAGCATGAATCATGTTGTCCGGCATGTCATTGGTCCATCGACGCTTCATCCGATTCTTCGGCGCATCGTCCTCTCTTATGGCCTATTGCCCAATCGGCCAGTTGACCTCCACAACTCTGAGATCCTTGGCACAATATCTGCTCTTCTTGGCCCGATGCTCGAATCCATGGCCCGAAGCATTCTGTCGATACGTCATCCGATCCTCCAGCTAGACGTCCAATCTTCTGACATGTTCCACCGACCCAACATGATTCTTCCTGCTTTAATTGTCTCGTTCTGATCGAAGCATCCTGCGTCACTCAAAACGCAGATCAAATCATAAATACTATCAATTGGTTTCATCATCAAAATACGAGATTCAACAGAATCTTGGCAGAATGAAATTGCTGTTGATTTGTGCTTGTTCTTTCATGGCATAATGGTTCGAAGAATATCAAATTTTGGTATTCATCTCCTTATTTGTATCTGATGCATATTTGATCTTTTTTATTTGTGACCCAGTAACATTCCATCTACACTCTTATTGATTGATTATATTTTATTTGTCATCTTTGCATGATATTTGAAGTGATCTCCCCTGGTTAGACCAGCACCAACTATCCAATGAGTCATCTTGACTTGCATCATAAGTAGTTTGTTGATGCATAAACCAACTTTTTCCCCATGATGGTGTTGTTTGGTGCTAAAGTTATAATGTTGAGCATTCTTTAGAATATTTGTTTATAACTTAAAGTGTATATTCTATTGATCCTTGTTATCTTTGTTCATTAACATTTATAGGCCCTGTTGGTGAGGATATGTTCCACTGGCAAGCAACTATTACAGGGCCTGCTGACAGCCCCTTTTTAGGAGGCATATTTTTAGTGAATATTCACTTTCCACCAGATTACCCTTTCAAGCCACCCAAGGTCACAATCTTCCTTCTCTCTGTCAATTGACGTGCTTATTTGTGAAATTATTCCATAACCAATAAATTTGTTACTTCTGTGATTATATTGATGCCAGAAGATCAATTCACATTGCTGTTCTTGTTCCTTTTGACTGTAGCTTTTTATTGTTGACTGTCTTTTTCTCTTTTATAATTATCACATGAAAATCTGATATAAGATCTGTGTTCAATTTTCCGAGATATCCCAGGTAATTTCAGTCAGAATGGTTGCATATGGGAGCAGTAAATAGTTTTGGAGTAGTATACTATATGGTTGGCCTTTTACCTTTCTTTGTTTGCTCTCTTTTTTTTTTCGAGTGTTTCGGTTCATTCACCTTTTTTTAGCAATAATCGAACGGTTATTAATTGCCTAGCTAGTTTGTATTAAATCTTCATATTATTTGCCAAGTGGATGCCATTTTTGGGTCGCATGCATCATGCCATGTTATTTTAGTATTACGACTTGCGACTTTGTTATTGTTATTGTTGTGCTTCAACATGTCCATCAGCACCAAGTCATATCTAATAAACCAACGGGTACTTGCCATTATGCACTGGATGAATGCAGTGGCATGAATAAAGCACCCCATCCTGCTCTTGTACACAGTGTGTTTGTGGTGTGCATGAGAGTTAAGACAGCATGGTACTTTGGTGGTTTTCACCATCGTACATAAAAGAATGGGAGCTGTGCAACTTTTTCGCAATCAATCTTACACTCAAGTCTAGCCCTGCTTTCTTGTAATGAGAAGCTTATTTTGAACTCATGTCATCACGACATTTTGTTAGACTAAAATGAGGATAACATATTTAGAAAGGAAAGCTGATTCTTACAAAGGAGATTTCTCAACAGAACCCCCTTTTTTTCTCAGGTCTTATTTCAATATTTCTTAGCAAGATGTATTTCATCCAAATATTAACAGCAACAGGAGCATCTGCCTTGACATCCTTAAGGAGCAGGGCAGCCCTGCTCTTCAATGTCTAAGGTAACTTTATATTTCTTGATTTTCTGATTGAACATATGCTCAATTTCTCATACATAATGTTCAGAGGCAACCTAAAGCTTAGAGGAAATCAGTTGAATTATGGTATTGAAGGATTATTTTCTTAGATATGATGCTAAATGTCAGATTATTATCATCCATGCTCTTGAAAATTCTATGGTGCATGTCTTGATTAGAAGAGCTGGCTATACCTTTTGTTTTCAATCTAAGATGAGTCCTGTATAAACTGGGAGGATAAGAGAACACTTGACTCTTGTAGATAGTCTAGAGATCTGAGAGGAGATGGACATGACAGCTGAGGGATTATAAACTAGAGACTACAAAAGGCTCTAGTGTAACCAGTTAAATTAAAGTTTATGTAGACTTCGCTTAATTGTAGACTGAAGAACAATTATCAGAAGCATTTCTTGTGCTTAACTGTTTCCACATGCCTCTGATAAGCACAAGAAATGCCTTTGATCACATACAAGTAGTCACTCAAAATCTTCCACATGCCTCTGACAAGCACAAGAGGTAATATGACTTCTCGGCATGGTCTTATAATTTCTTTACTGTTGTAACCACAAATTAGTTGCTGTGTCAGGAATAACTGTTATATTTCAGAACACATTATTTTTTCAGTACACCCTGTGGTTTGTCCTTGTAAATTTACAGAGTTAAAGAAGTTTCTGCTAATGTTCCTTCTTCTTGGTGAATCATTTTGAACCATTTTCTGTCGAAGATTGGTTTGTCCTTGTAAATTTAGAGAGTTAAAGTAGTCTGTGCTAAATGTTCCTTCTTCTTGGTGAATCATTTTGAACCATTTTCTGTCATATACCCCTAAAGCTAGATACATATTTCAATTTTATGTAGGAAAAAGTTGATAGTCCTTCCATCTGCGGGAGTAGTTTCATTTTCCTGCTTGTCCAACTATTCCAACTTGTGTTGCATTTCTTGCCAAAATGCTGAAATAAATGGATGGTTTTGTATTAGTTAAATTGTACAACCCGATGCAATTTGAAAAAACCTTGATTTGTATGTAGTCAAGTAATCTTAAATCTACTCAATGAATAGCCTTTTGCTTTTAATTCCTTGTTAATTACTGCTGGAATTTTGAAGTTGTGATGCCGTTGAGCCATTCTCACCTATTAGAGGTGTATTTAAAATGGGCTTTTTTGTTCGTGCTACTTCTTGAAACAATAATAACATGCTAAATCAGGTCTTTAATCTGAGCTATTCTCTTGTTTTCCTTTGATTTCTAGTGTCTTTGCATTCTCTGATCATTATTCTAGTTGACACATCCTAGATTACAAAGCAATTGTATCTTCTTTTTTGTCCTAGAAAGAAATTTGTTGAAAGAGGTGGAATCAAATGAAAAGCATTTTTGCAAACAAGTGGAAGTCCTTTCAAAATGCTATTGCCCCGAGATGATTGAGTAGAGAAAATGAAGAACTTAGCAAGTGTAACTTTTTTTTTTTTACTGTGTGAAGTGTATTTGTATTAACAGGTCAGACAAATTGTTTTGTGGTGCAATATATTTTTGTAAAAACCAGTAGTCTCAGTTGTGGACACGAAACATGACTTCCAGCAGCTAAAATTCTACATAAAGATTGCATGCCAAGTTCCTATAAATTCAATGTTTATTGCCTATAAATTCTACAGATTATATTTTCTGTTGATTCAGTGGCAAAGTTAAAATCTCTCATTGTGAGAAGCATGTTGTTAATGTAATTGATTGTCTGATGTACTATTGAATCCTGAAACCTTTTGCAAGAATCTGAATCCTTTCATCTGACATCAATTGCATATTGCAGGCATCCTAATTCATGTTTATGCTAGAACCAAAATAGTTGTTTGCATATGTTGCATCTGCATGATGAATCCAAGAGTTCCTCATGGTTGCTTGAAAGCAGATGAAAAATATCTACTCCAAGCATCATGTGGCCTTTTTATCACCGTTGTGATGGCAGAACTCCCATCTTTTGCTCCATGAATTCTCAGTGCCCTCTTATAGGGCTCTTCTACCTTGTGTCACATCAGGTTGGCTCTCCCATGTATCATAAGCTCATCAAGATTCTCTAATGACGGCCTTTTTTTTCTTTAACAAAGGCAGCAATTGTGTTTAGAGCTTCTCACTGAAATGAATTGATACTGTCTTCTCCTCGTGACTAGCTGTAATACTAATACTGTTCTTAATCCTAGACCTCTCAAGGGATCACATGAAAAGTTTGATGGGGATAAGGGGACTTCAGCTGCTCACACAAGTCGCTTGTCCAACATGTCACAGATTAATTGTGACAAGCACTGGTGCCGACCCTCAGCATGTCAAACATCTGACTGACATAAATTGTCAAAGTGTAGCGAGAGATGCATGTGACCTCCTTGAAACATGGTGCCCATAGTGAGCAAAACATTTATGAACCTCACATTCTCCATAGGGCCTTCCTTTGTGATGTTTCCCTGACATAATCCTTTATAATAATCCCCACCTTTCCAGCTAACAAAATAGCCTTAATGGCTCTAATGACTCTCTGTTCATCCAGGCAAGATGAGGAAATCTATGAGAAGTTGACGTACACAGGTCAATGGGTTTTCTCCTAAACTACACAAGGCTACAAATGGAAACATGTCTCTTGCGTTTATGACACTCGATGTACCTTCTGTTGCACCTTGTGCCTCTTCTGAATCCCATTCTCTGTCCCCCCCCCCCCCCACCTTTATCTCAGCCCCTTTAAGACCCTTCAGTTGCAAGAACAAAGACCTTTGGGTCCTGACATCAATCAGCTTTTCATGGAGGCACAGTAGCAACCATGAATTCTTTTGGAGTTCATGGACTGAAGAGCTTGGAGTGGGCACTGGGGAACTCCCTCGCTCAGTTACCAGCACCAGTTGGGGAGATGAACTGAGATGCTGCTGTACACAGCTTCAAAATCTGCACAGATCTCATGCATGCACTGCAAGTCCAATGAGCGTTTGAGAGGTCAAAAGATAGAGCATTAGCTTACCCTTCAGTCATCAAGGTCCTTGCAAACATTGTCTTGGTAGAGTAGGACAATCCTTCCATGAGAGATCTGCATGCTCCTGGAGCACACACTATAAGGACATGACTCAGACTCTAATTCCGTAATGTACACATAATAGTTTTGTTGAAGTAGTCAACAGATTCCTACATTTTTCTTGGATTCCCTCTCTCTCTCTTCTCCCCTGTGCGTATGATGTTACGATGAGGAAGTGTTCTTTACTCAATCTTTGGTCGCATCCTTGTAACGACGAAGCCATCGGAATGTCTCCGGTGGAACGCAGTGAATACCAAGTACAGCAGAAAAAGAAGAGACGAGAGAGCTGGGCCGGGGAGAGCGACCTGACGGCGGTGAGGGCGAGACAGTGACCTCTCGTCCACCTCCTTGCCATCTTCTTACTACAGTATATATACGATTCTTTCCTTTCCTTTTTGCTGTGTTGTCCATCTCTTGTCCTGCTGCAGCAAAGCCAGAGAAGAGAGAAGCGATAAGAGAGAGAGAGAGAGAGAGAGAGAGCGAGAGGTAAAGAAATTAAGGCTGAGGATGAAGACAATCATTAAACAGAGGATTACAACACTCTGTCTCTTGTCTGTGTTACTTTACTGAGTCCAGAGTCGGTGGAGGCAGCGGTGGCTTGGTGTTTTCCTCGATCATATTAAAGGCATTGCAGATGATGAGTTGTCTTCTGGACATTTCCGGGCATACAGTACAGATGGTACAGATTCCTCTTCCCACTGTGGAGGACCAAGAAAAAACTGAGTCCAAAAAGCAAGATGAACTCATAGCTGCACCTTTGGATCGACTTCTCTTTAACCAGAACGATGCACTCTACAGCAATAAAATATGTGATCGTGATCTGTTACTTTTGTTCAGAATATGCAGCATAGGTTTCTGTAGCTCTCTACCCTTCCATCCAACTCAAGAACAAGCCTTCACAGGCCTCATCCTACAGCATGATGCCAAAGCATGGCTTTCTATTCCTTGCCATTGTAAGAATGTTAACATGCTACAAAGTAGGGAGCTACTGCTAAGGTGTATTGAACCACAACAAAATCTTAATAAATTGTTATGATAAACAGAAACAATTCATAAATTGTACATATTTGCATATTATGTGCTTGTGGATTAAAAGAACACTGACTTTTACTGCTTGTTAGGACAAAAATAAATAAAAATGATGACAATTTTGGGCCAATAAGATGTTATTATAGTAACCAAAAAAAAAAAAAACTCAAGAAATCTCTTTGTTTATAACATCCATGACAAATTAGTGATTCCATGATTTCCTTTTTAATCTTGTAATTTTTGTTGAAATTAATCCACTTATATTTTAGAGTCATCTCCTAAGAACTGAAAACCTCATTAAACAAAAGTGAGAAATGATTAGATGCATGGTCAATCTACTGCATTTTCAATTTTATTTTATACAAAAGCTAATTATTACAACAATTAAACCTTGACATTTCTACTGCTTCCTCTCCAGAGTCGTTTAGATCCACAACTTAAAGATCACCTTTTCATCTTATATCAGTTTGCAACACTTCAAGCATTCCCCCCACCAAACTCACGCTCATCAAATGAATCTTGCAAGCATTAATCATGAAAATAAAAAGCATGGAGAAATACTACAACACATTAATCTTGCTTTGCGGAGCTCAATAGTCTCCTTTATGCCATTAAGGAAAGATAAAAAAGCTAAGAATAAACTTTGTTTGCCTTTGCACATCTTCTTAGCGACTTTCCCAACATGTAGATTGCTTGCAGAAGCGTGAAGCAGAGCACGACGTGACCTCCTTCTTCCTGTGAGCTGTGCTTCAACAAACACCCCATGGAGGTTTCTGCTACTGCGGATTGATTTCCCTGCCACTGGAATCAATGCACCTTGATGGGTCTGCAAAAGGTCTCAAGAACTCCCGAATCTTAAATGCTTCAATAATTTGCTGATGAGTGAGTGAGCGTCACCATCAGACTTCATAACCTGGAAGCTCTTCCATTAAGCAGCCCCATTAAAAATGCATGGACAACCAACCGTGTCTCGGGGACGCCATTATTGATGAACACTGCTTTGCAGGTGTGTAGGTAGCAGCAGCACTGCTCACATTCCTAGTACTCTTCCTCCCGCTGCTGCATCCCAACCTTTTTCTTATGCGGTTGTCGAAGAGAATCTCTCGGCAGAGCCGTATGATCCCACTGGAGCCAGACATCCGACGGTCGCGATTGATGGATACACAACATTCCCAGCACAATCATGTTGTATTTATATATCACTTTTTTTTTTTCTTTATATATCGTAAGACACAAATAAGCAATACGATCAAATTTCCTTTTTCATCTTTTCTATGATTATAAAATGGAAGAGTTCTCACTTTGGAGGATAAATCCTTTTTTTTTGTTGAATTTAATTTTTTGATGTTTTGTTGGAAAAATGAAAATACATTAAAAAAAGTCAAAAATAATTAATTACATGAAGTAAAAAATATATATATATATATATAATATGCCGCATAGAAAGTTCTCTGCGTACAATAATAACATGACACCACACTCTTCTGCCGGTACGCAGCGCTAACGAAAGAGATCGACGATTTAAGTCGTCCTTCGATTCCGACAGCCTTAAGGCGATCGCGCTCCTGCGTTCTTGTTCTCGTGTGATGATTCGGGTCTCTTTCACGACCTCAGATCTCGGTTATCGCTGCTGGGTTCGAAGGTTTCGGAGAGGTAAAGATCGAGAATCCTTTCGGTTCCGGGGGTGTCCGGTTTGACAAGACGGGGACTTGGAGGGGGATTCGCTTCTTGATTTGGGATATGGCTTGAGCGGTTTCGGTTGATTTTGGTCTTATGGGATGTGCTTGTCGGGTTTTATTGGGTCTTTAGTGAGGGTTATGGATGTGCTCGGCGGGTGTCGTTTCGCGAAGGGGATTTATTTGTCGACTTGAGTAACCGCTGAATGAATGCAGGGCCTGGGAACCTTGTTTTGGTGGCAACTTCGGTTTCATTGGTGCTGGATCTTGCAATGTTGGAGCTGTCGCCGAGGTAAATCTTCCTTTGGCTTGTTTCTGTAAGATCGATTCCATCTCTATGTTTCACTTCGATCTGTTGGATTATCGTGGGTTTGATATGTTGAGCTGAAACATGATTCTTTTTTTGACAAAAGGACAACTTTTTGATTTAATTGCTTGTTATATCAATAAGGTAATTAACGAATCTAGGAGCTTTCATGGTTAATGAGCTGAGCTATCTGTGGATCTCGGTTTTCATGTTTTATTCTTTATTTAATTTTCTTTTTCTCTTCGGATTTGTTTCTTTTCTTATAAAAGTCTTCTCTTTCAGTTTGTTCTGAGGCTTGCGACACTACGTGGACTTCTGATTCTCTTTGACCGTATCAATTGCAGTTGTTTGCCTTTGAAGCCGGAGGTCTGAGATACGAGGATTTCTTTCATAAATTGTGAGAAAATGGCTGGTAGGCTGGCTAATAAGATTATGCAGAAACCTCAAATGAAAACATGGAATCGATCGCTTTCT